GCTGGCTGGGTTCCAAGGTTCACATACTGCTCTCCCTCTCCGTAGACCTGCAGGCGCTGCATCTCCAGGGGCCATTGCCACTCAGCCGTGGAGGAAGTCGACTTGATGTCCCCCGCATCGTCCTCCTTCTTTTTGTCTTTGCGGGAAGGTGCCACAGTGACATCAGTTGACTGGTATTCCTCCACCTTCCAAGCACTCAAGAGTGCAGCACGCAACCGATCAGCATCCTCAGCAGCAACTTTGTGGGCCATTTTCATCTTCCCTTGTGTGGAGGCCGGGCTGTTGGGGAAGCCGTTGCGGTAGGAGTTGACATGCTGGCTCAACTCTTTGCAGGCGAGGACTTCGGCCATGGGGGGAAGTTGCCCGGCTCCGGGACCGCAGCGCACGATGAAAGGCTCCGTCCAAAGTGTGTCGGAGGTGGAGGCGGAGGCGGCAAACGCATCCGCGGACATGGACGCGGACATGGATTTGATTTTGGTGCAGTTGAGCTTCCCGTAGTCAATCGCAAACAAGTCTTCCACTTGGCCCTGCTTTTCGGCGGCTGCTGCCAACTTCTTGCTCTTCTGCTCGGAGGCTTTTTTCAAGCTAGCCTCCTTTTTCAAGGCGGCTTCTGTTTCTGCCTCCTCTTTCTTCTTCTTCTGAAGTTCAAAATCCTTCTCCGCTTTATCCGCTTTGATGATCACGGCATTGGTACGCTTCACCAGTGTGCCATGATTTGCCAACAAAGCCTTCACATCTTTCACCTGCTCATCCAGCTGCTTCTTGGTTGTCACACCTGTCCCCAGCGTCCTCAGCGAGGTGTATACTGAGAGCAGAGGGCCATTCCCAAAGAAGCCCGGGTAAGGGCACCGAGGAGCCTTGAACTCCACGAGTCCACGAGATTGCACGAGATTGGCTTCGCTGGGCTCCTCCGTGGCGTTCCGGGATTCCGGCACGCCAAATCCATTTTATACATTGACAGCATTTATCACTCCAAACACGCATGCCCCTTAAACACCATGCCGCACCCCAATTTTTCGGGATTTTGAAGCCGCTCGGGAGGGTGCGCTCCGACGGCTCCCGGCAGCCGCATTCAACCACGAAAACTTGAGCCAAACCTGGGAGACATATCCACCGAAATCGCGCTCTCGCCACAGTCTGGTGAAACGGCCCGGCCACTTTTTGGTCTTGCGCGGGTCTTCTCGGGGCTGGCTGTGTCGCTTCTGGCTGGCAGGCCCGGCAGAGTGTGTGAAACATAGGCAGGGGACCTTGAAGATCGGAGGCGCGGCGGTTCCGTGATGCCTGGCGATTCCGGGTGGCGGGTGTTCGACCCATCCTAAACCCTTCCCGACCACGTTCCGCGGCTAGCTGGCACCGATTCGAGGTCCTACGTGGTCCTACGTCCTACGCCGCTCAGCCTAGGCTCCCATGCCCATGCGATGTTCCTGCATCATGGCTGTGCGTGTGTGCAGACTGTGTGCAGTAGTCCAGTGCCCAGCTAAGCGAATGCACTGCGAAGGTGAGCCAGAGCTGAAATGCCAGACTGAGCATTCCTGACATGCACAGTGTAGTGTAGTGCTGAGCAGCCCAGGACATCCGGGCACACAGACTTGTTATTGAATGTTGTTGCCATCCCTCCCATACGGCACTACGGAGTAGTTTTATTATGGGGCCTGGGCTCCACACGGCACTCACTGAACCGGCCGAAGCCCACGTAAAAATTGCAAGAATGACCTTGACCATCAAACTGACCGGCATTGGAGCAGTTTTCAACTAGCAAACAGCGCACCTATTCTCTTCCGCTAAATTATCTAGCCTGGCGAAGCACAAACTTTTCTTGGTCACTCAGTCCTTGCCACACAAAGGAAAAGTGTAATGCACATGGTGAAATTTGGCTTAGGCCTCGGCCTAGGCTAGGGGGGTGTAGGTTAATTTAAGAGTTTAGGTGCGGTCCGGTAGAGACTTGCGACGAAGACTCGGAGTGCACTGCAAGGTCAGGTTTTTTCTTTGACAGGTGGTTGGGGCTCCAAGGTTTTCGGTTGGCTTTGAGTGTCGGCCTGTGCCTTCAGGTTCAGGGTTTCTGTGGCGAGGTGTCGGGGCTCTGAGGCTGCGAGGTTGTGCGTTCTCATGATTCTCATTAGGAGGCAAAGGCAAGCGCAAAGGAAAGGACAAGAAGAAAGGAGCAGCCACGCAAGGCTGACAGGAGGGCAGCCCTCGGGGAGAGCAGAGCATGAACCGAGGGTGTGCGACTGGAGCTCTGCAAGAGTGCTGCTTTCCATCTTGTTTTCAAGACCTTTGCCTTTGCTTCTGACTTATGATTTCCGTGATTCATGATGACGACACTGACTGCTGCCTCCTGACACTCCAAGACACATGATGATGACAATGACAACGGTTTGTTGTTTATGTTCAGGGTTTTAAAGGTTCAGGGTTTCGGGTTGAAGGTTAAGGCTGGTGACTAGTGACAAGTATGGGCCCGGCGTGACAGTCATGGTGTGATTCGCGGCTCGCATGGTGTGTGTGACGGTGAGGAATTAGGCGTCATCACCATCACGAATCACAAAGCAATCAACCATCACGAGTCGTTGATGGTAACTAGTTGAAGGCACTGATTCACTGAGTCGATATTGCCAGTGCCCCCGGCCCGTGACCCCGGTCTGTTCCCTATCCCAGTGTCACCGCCTACGCCTACACGCATCTGCCTCTCGCAATACTATCACATGTCGCAAAAGGTTTCTGCCTGCCAGGGATGCCAACTCAACACCGCCGGTTCTCCGCCCGCCGCCTGTTTTCCCTTTGCTCGTACTTCTTCTTCACCCGTCACTCGTTTGCTCTTGCCCCCACCTTCATCACAACCCCACCCACCTACAACCTACAGTGACCTACAGCGACACTATCTTAGTGTCGCGCCAGATTGGTGACACTATCTCAGTATCTACACTGTCGGCATAGGCAGGTGAGACTATCACAGTGTCACACTGCCGGCCCGGAATCTACGACTCGAAGCTGGCAGGCTGCAGCAGGCCGCAGAAGCCGCGCCACAGGAAGCCGCAAGCCACAAGCCAAAACATGACAGAAATGTTGTAGTTTCTACAAAATTTAGATTTGCTTTATCTTTGCTTAAACGACAGTTGCATTTGTGTGTGTGTGCTGCTGCTGCTACAGTGGTGTTCCACCTATGGTCGTGTGCATGCTGGCGTTGTGTTTACACACTGCTAATCGAACCGCGGAAGAAGCAAATTCAAAGCAGCGACACCGGGGGAAAAAGCACTACGGCAAAAGCACTCTAGCAAAATGTAACTGATTTCGGCAGGTTGACCCTTTTCTGTGGGAAGTGCCTCTCGTGTGCTGCTTCGCTTGCTCCGGTGCGCCCTGCCCTGCTTTGCCCGTCCCCACCCGTGTAGTAGCGTAGTTTTCTCGGCCGTCAGGTATCATCATGGTGTTCAGCGTTGCGGATGCGAGGAAGCAGGTGGCGGAGGCGCAGCAACGGCATGGCCTGGCCCGGATTTGGGGATTGAGCTGTGTCACGATGTCAGGACCTCATGGATGACAGGGTTGACAAGCGCAAGAAGGCCAGCGGCCAGCAGCAATCATAAGGCAATCACATTCGGAGCTTGCGCCGCAGGTGCACCTGGTTCGGATGAACATGTTCAGCGATGCCATTTGGAGACGCATGCTGAAGGCCACTGCTACTGATTGCTGGAGTGACTGGAGCGGTACTAATTTGGCAGGACATCCATGATGACACGCCTGAGTTGAACATGGTCGAGGCCAGGCTTGGCCTTGTGCTGATTCGGCCCGACCTAGAAATTTGAATTCCAAGGTCATCTGCGTGATTGGTGTGGCGATGGAGTCCAACGGCTTGACCACCACGGCGCCCACGACACGGTGGGCGAATTGTGAGTTGTGAATGACTTCCCACATGAGTTCATGAGTGTTTCGCACTTGGCAGTCAGCTTCGAAACTCTGACATCGGCCTGGACGACTCGGACTGAGATGAGGCTGGCTCGGCTAAAGTGCTCGTTATGGTACTGTCGCCTGTCCTGTCAGGAAGTCTTGGTCTTGCGGCACAGTGAGCTCTGGAAGGGGCAATAGCGCTATCAGTGACGCTTAGCGGAGGTGCGCTGTTTGCTACTTGAGCACTACTCCAATGCCGGTCAAGTTTGATGGTCAAGGTCATTCTTGCAATTTTTACGTGGGCTTCGGCCGGTTCAGTGAGTGCCGTGTGGAGCCCAGGCCCCATAACAAAACTACTCCGTAGTGCCGTATGGGAGGGGTGGCAATAACATTCAATAACAAGTCTGTATGCCCGGATGTCCTGGGCTGCACGGGCACTACACTACACTGATGCGCTCAACCGAGGGCCCGACTCGCATGTGCTGTCCGGGCCAGAATGAAAGAGATCGATGCTTCAAGCCTCTCGGCTATTCCGCTATCCTTGAACGCCCTAGTTCGGTTCAATCCCTGCTCTACTCTACTTCCCTAATCCACTGGACCACCTTTCAAGGATATCGGGAATATTCTAGATTGAAGGCAATTGGAGGGCTCCCCAGGTTTCGATTTGAGACCCATTTCGCACTGTGATTGCTTCCGGCTATCTGTGGCTCTGCCCGCTAATCCCAAATATGACACGACCGAAGTCAACAGTGAAACCCCACAGCCCGCAAGCAGATTGGGAAATTGGGATGAACCTTATGATCCACGAGCCAGTGGATGTTTGGGTTTGGAGCTCTAGTAGAGTGGTTGTTGTGAGCCTCCCGCCTTCCTCGACCTGTGATTTGGCGCCCCGCTCCTCCAACCTAGTCCTGTCGCCGTAGCACATGAAGCATCAGAGTCGGTGTCATGAGCAGTGCCAACTTCACTTACCCGCGCCGGCTTCGGCTATTCAGCTGCGGACAGCATGTGTCGCACAGACAGCAGACTGTACAGCAGCACAGCAGGCACTGGCCAACAGAGCTCCAGGGCAGCAAGGAGTGCAGGCCATGACCTAGTTCACGTAGGCCTAGGCCGTAGTTTTCAGAATGTCGGACCGATGGGAGAAGTGGCCAGCGGGCTTCAGCAGTTGGAGCAATGAACAGTGGTCGAGCTGGCATGCTGTCAGTGGCGCATCTGGGAGTGGTGCTGCAAGTAGTGCTGTGCCAGCACCACCGCCACCGCCGCCGCCACAGGCGGCGGATGATGACAAGGAGGAGGAGGAAGAAGAAGATGAAGCTGAGCAGACCCATGGGCAGGGTCAGGGCGGCAAGAGCAAGAGGAAGAGAGCCAAGCGAAATGGCCCCAAGACCAGGGGCGCCGGTCAGCGCGATCGGGAATGGTTCAGGCAGAAGGCGGATCATCAGCGGCGGGTCAAGGCGGAGGCTCAGCTGGAAGAGATGATCGAGAGGGAGTCCTTGATGGTCGGCGAGACTTGGGCTGCGGAGGTGCTGCTGACGGAGAAAGAGCGTCAGCTTCAGCTTGCGACTGCCACCTCCGCGGAGCTCAGAGCCAAGTGCTCCCTCGATGTGGCGCTGGCACGGAAGGAGCAGGTGCGCGTCTTGTGGAGCCAGTCGGAGGAGAAGGCCTACAATCTGAACCTTCAGCTTCAGGCCGTTCAAAAGGCTAACTCCGAGAGACTGACGGACGTGACCGCTGCACGGGCTTCGCTGGAGAAGGTGAGGAGCGATGCGACGAGAGAGGTGTCGTTGCACCTCACCGAGAAGCAAAATCTGCTTTTGAAGGCCCAGAACGACTTCCAGGACTACAAAGCTGACAAGGAGATGAAGATCCAGCGGCTGGAGAACCAGATATTTCTGGAACGGGTGGAGAAAAACCGGCTGGAAGAGGAGCTGGCACAAGCCAAGAAGGATTTGACCATGGGGAAGGCCAGCCCGGATCGAGTGCTGCCGTGCGTGTTCAGATTCAGTGGATCATACACACGTGGCTTTTGGTGCTTGTGCAGGCTGGCTTCATCACCCAAGTGGCTTCCAAGGAGAAGACAATCGCATCTCTCAAGAAGGAGAAGGCCTGCTTTGTGGCATTACTTTAACGTTGGCTTTCATGTTCAATCCACTACTCTGCCAGGATGCTTTGGCCGACCTCGTCTCTGAGTTTGAGCGGCAGTTTTCCAAGGCCAGTGCTAAGAGCCAGGGCAAGTAGCCTGAAGTAGCCTGCTGGCAGCTGGTCCGCGACACAGCCACACAGCCACACAGCCACACACAGCCACACACAGCCACACACAGCCACACACAGCCACACACAGCCACACACAGCCACACACAGCCACACAGCCACTCAGAACAGCAGGCCAGCTGGCTGCGGGGTTTCATGTGCGGCATGGTGCTGCATGACTCGGAGTGATGTTCAGAACATAACATCCAGCTAGCAGCTAGCAGCTACTAGCAGGCAGGTGTACCGTATCATAGAGCAAGCAGTGCGTACTGTGCTTGTATCTTTGACATTGGCACTCCGTATTTCAATGTGTTTCAAGTCTCACCACCTTCTCACCAGAATGCGGATCCACCGGTGTGAGCCAAAACTGAGTCGACCGACCGATGCAGTCTTGCACTGGCAGCAGCAGAGGGACGCAGAGGGAACAATTGAAGCAGATGTGCTGGAAGCCGAAGAATTATTTGCGAGTGCTCTGCAAGAATCAATGGCATGGCCGGGCAGCTTCGAATCTCAAGGTGCCGGTTAGATTGCTCAGTGGGACATGAAACATGATATAGACGTCAGATTCAGAGTGCAACTGTTTCGTTTCAACTGTGCAAGAGGTTCGTATTGAAACCCTGGCTCCATGACGCAGACACCAGAGTTCTTGGACACACCTTGGTTCGTAGCGCTTGTAGCTCGCAGTTCCCGGGATTAGCCCGGAAGGCCTAGGAGACTGGCTCAGTGCCAGCGCATGGAACCTGGAAGCATGCATGCCATTGTATGGCTGTCTACCCCTTTCATCAAAAACAAAGACAACAACGAAAAAGCTCAGGCTGATAAAGTCATTTTGCAACAGTCGAGCGCTGCGTTGAGCAGATCCGAGAAAATTGCACTGCAGGCCAAATGCCGCAACTTGGCCCTGTCCAAGACTGCTTCAGAGTGCTTGGAGCAATGGGCAGAGACAAGAGACTATTGGCTGGGTGCTAAGAATCTCGAAGCTTCGGTGGATCCAGAGTTGGTTGGCCTGGCTTTGATTCGTGTAGAAGGCCGATTGTTCAAGAGTAGGACAGTGCTTCAGCATCAAGAGGAATGGATATCCTGGCACTCTTGGTCATGCCCGCTGCCTGATACTTCTCATCCTCCACTGATTTTCTTCGATATTGTCGATGCAGTCCACTTGCAGGATCCCGTGTCTGCAGCTCTGTATGCGACAAACTCTAAGAACTACATGCACAGAGCATTCTGGATGCTGGCGGAGGGTGAGGTGAACAAGCATCTGTTGCCACGGACAGTGCAGCGCTTCAATGCACGAGGTGCGGTCCATGCCACATCCTCCGTGCAAGAAGTAGTTCAAGAATGGTCCGGTAACTTCAGTTTGCTGCCTGGCCAGCCAGAGTGCTTAGATATGTGCTTCAGTGATTTGGGGCCTATAGTACTTCTGGCGTCTTGCAGATCTTGGCCGTCCCTGGCGCAAATGCCGCAGTGCACATCTGAAGACCTGAGACAGAGGCGCCGCAATTGCAGGAGTTTGCCATTTCAGGGCTTGTTTGGTCAACCGAATCTCTTGATCGCCGCAAGGCAGCCACCGCCGCAGTATGGTGTGGAGCGGTCGTCTACTGTAGAGACAGCTTTGTCAGAGAAGGCTGCGTTGGCCACATTGTGTGGCCGGATGTTGTCCATGATCGCCTCAACAAATGCGGCTTCTTCAGAGCAGCTTGCAGAAATGCAGTTTGAAGCCGAAAGTTGTCTGGGCAACTTGGACCAACTTCACAGAACAGCATATGCTGACGCTCTGGGCTCAGCTTTCCCCCGTAGGCGCAAGGAAGCGGAGCTTAGGGTTTTAAGAAAAGATGGTTTAGTTGACCCGACCCTGGTAGACACTTCCAAAGCAGTAGGCGGTCGCCCGAAAGGCAGCAGTCGCGTTCTGCTACATGCGGTTTCCACTTGTCTTCTGATGAGAAATTCTGAGGATCTGGCCAAGCAAGTAGCCAGCAGTCTCAGGTTGGTAGTGCCAGATTTGGCAGATGCAATCCTTCCAGCCTTGGAATCTTTGCCAAGCATGTCCGCTGTGTCCCGTGGTCGCTTAGCAGTCGACGTGGGAATGATGCTTGCTATGTCGGACCTGAACGCCCGGCTGCGTGGCACAAACACATTTGTCGCCAGGGTGTTGCTTGCGGACTCTTCTCCCCAGAGAGGATGGGACTGGCTACTCAGTGAATACCACACACTGGTTGGCAGCGAGGGTATGAATCTCATATCGCTTGCTTGGAAGATAGCAAAACTTCAGGAGGCAGAGAGAGCACGGCCCCAGCAGGATGCGACTGCTTCTTCTCATGAACAGGTTGAGCTGGAACACAAGATGTGGCAGATTTTGCAAGGATCGAGAAACTCTGCTTCCAGTTTGCACGCTGTTGACTCGCACATTTGCCCGCCCACGGCCATCGGGTCCCGCAAAGCATCCCTCATCCACAAGATTCATGCCTTGCTGCATGCTCTGCTATTGGAGAATTCTTTGTTTTCCGGATTGCAAGTTTTTCTTGGACAAGTCAGAGCTGTCACAACTGACTGGGGAGTGGAAAGCGGTTTTGCAGATGCTACTGATGTGCCTTTGCATGAGCTGTTCCCGTACATGCTGGATGTGGACTTTTGGAACACAGATGAAGCCGTGGACAATGTCGAGTTGTCAGCCGGGCAGCAGGTTCTTCCTCACCTGTTCCAGGAAGCTTTGCAAATTCCAGGTTGTCTCCACATTTTGCATGGGGCGACGAAAGATTTGACAACTGCCTTCAAGCATTTTGATGATTTTTTTCTTCCGAGACTGAAGGCAGTGGCGGCCACTCTGTCACGTCCGGAAGTGAAGGATAGGTTCTTGCATCACTGCCTTGAAGGCACACCTGGAGCTTTGTTTACGGACAGCGTGCGCCAATTTTCGTGCACCGTGGTGACATGGAGATGGGGGTACATCATCCAGACATGTCAGGAGCTTCTGGAAATGGAGACGCCGCTTTCATACTGGGACTTGCGAAAAATCAACCAGGGAAGCGCAGAGCCTCGTCAGCGCAGAGACGAGGACGGAGACACGGATGCGACCGAAAGGCAGCAGAAGCTTGAGCTGGCAACCCAAGCCATTGCCAACCAGAAGTTCTGGTCTTACATGAAGATGATCTGTGCTGTTTCTGCCGTGCTGGATCATTTGGAGCATTGGCTGGAAGGCTGCCCTTGTCATTGGAAGAGCTCTGAGAAGAAGTCCGTGTACTTCAGGAGCCAGAGCACTTGCTTCATGTCTGGGCGGCGGGCTCCGGAGTTGGCGGCCGGCAAGCTTCACAGCTTGATGGCTGGCCACTTCCGCCACGCTCATCTTCATGTCCTCGCTGCGTGCACGCACATTCCGTCCGAGGAGCAGGCAGAGATCTTGGAAGACTTCACTCTTGGTCAGGCCAGAGTGACCCAGTTCTTGAACATCAAGCTCGGCTTCTGGGAGTCTCTGCCACACAGGCTGGCTGTGATTGGCCACTTCTCGGAGGATGCTGCGCGCAGCGGGCTGGCAGCTTGTCTGGAGGCATTCAGAGTACAGGGGGTCAACCGGTGTCACCACCGACTGACCCGCCTGTACTTTGATGCCTCCGTGGCGGATGCCGGCTGGCTGCAGCAGCTTGACCGCTTCTTGCAGGGCGAGCCCCGGGAGGAGCTTCAGTTGATCATGCAAGAGGCCTGCAAGATGGCTTTCATTGCAGTCAATGAAAGAAGCATCGAATCCCGGCACGCCACAGCTGCAACGAAAGTTAAGCTTGTGAAGAACCTCCGGCCGAGTGGCTTCTCCTTGGGTCTGCGTGCTTCCGAGCTGCACCAACGCTTCCTGCGAGACAATGCCTCCATAGACTTCTTGCTGCAGAAGGTCATTCATGCAAGGGAGGAAGGACTCCTGCAGGTCACCGGACTGGCAGGGCACCCCACAGCTTTGTCCATCGCGTATGACCATGACCGCAAGTTGAAACTTTCAGAAATGGCCCGGATCATCTACCACTGTGACTTGCAGACGACAATGCGTGGCAGGACCTACTCTTCCAGACAAACCGGACCAACGCAAGATGGGCCAGCCCGGCGTCTTCGCCTTGCTGTGCAGCAAGCTCCTGATGAGCCCTCGCGACACCAAGCATGTTTGCAGCACTTGATGCAAGAGCATTTTCAAACAAGAATGCAAGAAGGTGACCTCTTTTGCTGCAGAGCAGATGCGACGCACAAAGTTGTGCCTCTTTCTCAGAGGACTTCATCGAAAGCAGCCAGACACACAGGCACGAGCACAGCTAGCACGGGTGATGAAGAAAGGCCTGGGTCCTTTGCTGCGTGTTTCTCGCAACCTTCTCGCGAGGTGAGCAGTGCATTTGATGACATTGAAGCTGCGTCGGCAGTCTCTGTTTTCTCAGACAGACTGGCTCCTAGCAAGCTCGATGTCAGTTCCACTCGTTTCCGAGTTGTGAAAAGTCATCCTGCAAGGATGAAGCAGTTGCACAGCGGATCAGGCAAAAACTTCGCGCCTTTCGATGTTCTGGTGTCCGTCCATGAATTGCAACCTGGAGCTGACGACCCCGTTGTACGCCTGCGACCAGAAAGCCTAGGCCTGTATCAGGACACTGTCGGAGTGTGGCAGATGCCACAGGTCGCTTCTTTTGAAGATGCAGAGAAACTGTTGTTGCGTTGGAAGGTGAAGCGTGCTGGCTTCACTTTGACCACAGCTATGTTGAACCTCATCTGGTCTCCGGGAATCAAGGCATGTGCTCTTGAGATTCTGCGCAAGATGCTCCAATTGTGTGCCTTCGAATGCACGCAGACATGTCACTACTTGAACCACGATGCTGAAGCAGACCAGTGGGACCTGAAGATCTTGAAGCTTTTGAAAAGTTTGAAGATAGTTACCGATCTGGTACACAGAGACGACGCATCTGGTTGGTGCATTCGGTCCGAGTGGCTACGCAGCCTGGAGATCACAGCACCTTGTGCAGAATTGC